TTTATATTGTTTCAAATAGAATCTACATGGAATATAATTTAACAACTTTGACATTTTTATTGACAAATAGATTCTATTGAAATGTTTTTAACGAATGTGTTATCATTTATCATTTTGCAATGTAATATCATCTAAAATAGTGACTTCCGTCTTTTGATTTGCTTTGTTGTTTTTTTTTATTTATTGTTTTATTTAAATATTATTTCTCGCTGTTTTTCTGCTTGTAAAAGAAAAACACATACGCTTGACTACTTTCATTAAAAATATCTATTATGTTTTTTCCCAAGACTTCCGAAAGGTAACAGTATACAATCCTAGATATCGCCACCCGGTAGAACAATGACACAACTGCAAAATTTTGTAATCTGGACTAAATGCTTCAATGTGTTTAGATATAGCGAACGCATAAGGTAGATCGACGGAACTGTAGTTGTAATAATTAATCGTGCATTCATTTATAATAACATTTTAGTGAAAAATAATTTGGTTTTTTGGTTCTCCTGTAAAATAAAAAATATTGCAGTTGTGTCATTGTTCTACCGGTGATATATAATTCACATCGGAGAATATTAAATTTAATTCTACTCAGGGTTAACGACTACGGTATTCAGCAAAAACGACAAATTAATTATATTTGTAAAACCGTCGTCTAGACTTATTATTGTATATTATGTTTGTTAACAAACAAATGTATAGTTAAATTTAGCTGAATTATGATTAATGAATATTAAACATCATTAATAGGAATCTATTTGTAGACTTTTTTTTATGGTATGTTATCGTATATAAATAAAGTTTCTTTCGTTCTGGTCGTTTGACAAATTAACATTAATAAAATCACAAAAATATTGTTAAAATTATAGCTAACACATAAGAAAACTTAAGCAATACATAAATAAATACGTTTTTCATTTACATGATCATCACCTTACAACTTAACAGACCTTGTAGGTTTATATTCATAAATAGAGTATTATTAAGGACATATTGGGAGAGAAAGACCGAGGGCAGAATATATATTACTCAAATCATGAAGGACAAAAATAGGGAAAAATACAATGACCAAAATGAATTAATCTTAAACAGGGAGGTATGGACAAATTAATCTTAGAATAAATAAATAACTATAAAAAGATTAATAAAATATGGTGAATGATACTGAAGTATAAAATGTATTTGATTTTATTTTACATTATTTAAAAATACACACATTAGAAAATATAAATATAGTATTATATTTTGTGTCATATAAATCTCTATAATATAAATAATTTTATTTATATTAAATAATAAAAATTATGTATAATATATGGACTTTGCGCGGAATTTTTATTAATTTTACTTTTTAGTATAATTTTAGAGAAATGGCCACACGACTGGAGCGCATGATGACGGAAACCCATCGAACCATAATTGATCTACTTGCCCAGGACACCGGCGATGGCTGCAAACCAATCTACGGATTAGTAACTATAGAGAGAATGTAATTGATGCAATTCTCGATTTATCAAACAATTTTGGGTCAGTTACTGAAATTATAAAATAATATATTTCACATTGATATTTATATAAATAAATTAAAACTCACATAAATAAAATGTATGAAAAGTGTGTTACCTTTTTAGTTCTTTTATAGTATTTATAGTTCTCAGAACTATAAATACTATATAAAATATTTCAGCGATAAATTGTATACCTTAATAATTTATTGTACGGTCGAAGAAAGGAACGCAGCCAATTTTCACAAATACTAAATCATTTTATTTTTCAATGAAAGTTTTTTGTATATACTAACTTGTTTGTTAGGCAACCCAATTCATAAGTAGGTGAAAATAACAAAATCCGCTATTAAACAATTGTAATATTGATGAACGTTAGAATACGTTCACTAATATTAACGAAGTCGGTATACTTGTTTTATCGTGTGAATTTTTAAGGGTATAAGCTATGATTTATAGAGTTTCAACATCATTTTGTTTACTGCGCTGTCCGTGTCATCCATATACTAGTGAGTGACAAGCTTGCCGAGGGTAAAACAGGCAAATTACTCATCTATGACTAAAATAACTTGACGTATAAAATCTTTACTGCTATAAACAGATGTTATTTGATAGATGGTAGTACATCGTGTATGATAGGATTTTAAAAGTATCTAATGTATAACGAAGAATGTATTCGTACCAAATGGCACGTGATCAATATCAAAAACAAGAAACGAGCAAATTGAACTAATACGTATAGTTAACTTAAAGTGCAGTATTTCCACAGTATAGATCTGGGACATTATTATTTTTACGATGCTACTAAAAAAAACAGCCAGACACTTAATGTATTTATTCATGTTGATTATTTTATTTTATTTTATAAAACTACACTATTTATAGAACTCTAAGTTCACTGCGATATTATATAATGATTGATTTTACAACGATGGAATTATTTTATTAGCAGCTGAGTCACTCGATAACATATTATCATAAGTGGTTGATAACTTGAAGGGTGAAAAGTTAAAGAAATACCCCCTTCTCCAAAACGTCAAAACAACGCGCGACATATTTTACATATTTTTCAAGTTTCAGCATTGATACGTTATAACTTTTAAAAAAAAAACGTTCGGTCTGAGTCAACGTATTTTTTGGATATTTTCTTTGCGTCCACTCAGAAGGTAGTGCGTGTGACACTATTGCCCATTTATATACATATATTGTACTACTTAATTTATATAAATCACAGTAAATTACCAATAACTGTTTATATAGGTAAACGATGTAATTTGAATTTTAAACGTGAAAACTGCAAAGGTAATTTTTTTTAATATTTTCGTTTTATCCATGTGCATGAACAGGGTTCATGCATAAAAATATGAACACGGACATGAATAATTCATGTTCATTGAACACTCTCTAACGTGCATACTTAGACAACGTTGAAAACAAACTTAATTAAGTTTGTTTTGAAACATTAATTGTTTTAAGTTATTTTTATTTCTATCTAAAGCTAAGTTCTATCTAAGGCTACTCGTTGCTTCGGACCTAATAATTGTGAGATATACATACAGATGTACGTGTATATTTTTTCAACTTCATTTTCATTTTTAACTCACTTTCTTCCCACTCTCTTCTACCCCCTAAAAAAATCAGTGATTGTATTCAGTGAGGGGCGACGACGTTGAAAACAAACTTAATTAAGTTTGTTTCAAAACATTAATTGTTTTAAGTTATTTTTATTTCTATCTAAAGCTAAGTGTATCCTACTCGTTGCTTCGGACCTAATAATTGTAAGATAGATATTAGAGTTATCGGTTTTCTAATTATGTAAATAACTATACCTTAGTATTAACGATAACAAAACATGTATTAATAACTCAATAATTTTACAACGAGAAATCATTAGTCAACTATCGTATTAAACGCAATGAAATCAAGATGCGCGTGTAATCTTGGGTTAGTTCACCTGAATTCCTTAGAAACCCCTTAATGTTAATCCAAGCATAACTCACTGAATGTATGCATAAACGATCAACATTATAATGAACAATCAAATTATCTCTCACGAATACTTGGACACGACCCAGAATCAACTCGAAATTTAACCAACTTTGTGGAACTCGCAAACCTAACAAACACAATTTAAGGTAAATGTTCAAATTCACGTACGCACACTTATTAATACATTATAATTAATAATAATCATCATCACCACCAGCTTAACGGGCCTTTAAGGCCAAACACTGCCATCATAAGAATTAAGATGATGGTTTCAAGACGGATTCGTTGTATAATTATAAATTTATTGTAAAACTCGAGTTTTGTTGAAAACTCAATAGCATTAATAACTGTAATTAAAATTCAATAGCTGCGAATATAAACAATTGTTTCGAAGAATACAAAATATCTATAGGTAAATGCGTTTTTCTTATTACAAGGAGGACCATATTTTCGAATACACAACAATGAAGAATATTTATGATACCGCTACCGTATCTATCGTGTCGGCCTACCGTCGTTTTTTACGTTGACATTATGTTTTATCAAAGTAAACATTCTGAAAAAACCATTATATACCTACACGTGTACCGCAAAAAAACTGACAGGATAAAATTACCAGTACACAATGAAAATGCAGTAGCCCAACGCAATAACAAAAGTTTAATGGATCTTTTTTTTTTTATTATTAACAAAATTATGATTTTAAATGTAAAACTATTATTCTTTTTACTTTAACGAGAACTCAAAAATGAACTAATAAACAAAGCTTTTAAGTATTTGTAAATAAATATATTATCATTTTCAAGTTCTTAAGTGTGTCAAATATTCTATGCAAACAGTTTAAGTAGGTACTATAAGATAGCTGGCAAATTAACAACGTAAATATACCTTCACCCTTTATTTAGAATGTAATATTATTATAATAAAGTTATACAATATACGAAGTTTTCATATTTATTTTTTGCACATTGTATTGAAAGCTGAAATTTACAAAATCATCTTAACAAATACCTAACCTAACCGTTGAGTCCGGTTTTCAGATAAGTTTTGTCGATTTTCAGATAGAAGGATTAGATAGAATACAGTAACCGCCGTCCGAGAATTTACCTGTTTTAATTTGTATGTGAAAAAGTTTAATAAACAAAGATTAAATATAATCAGTCGACCTGTTTAAAGCTATTAACGAGAATGTATTATTGAATTCTTATTTTGAATTTTCAATCTTACGACAGTTGTTTTAAACTATGATACTTACACTTTTCCACAATTATGTATTTAAATATGACATTAAGTAGGTTTATATAATATGTTTTTATACGCAGATTCGATATATATTTTACCAAACTTAGTGCCTACCTAATACAGATGACATTTAAATATTTAATACAGCTTACTATTTCAATGTTATAAATTTATTGTAATAGCAATATGCATATTTTTTCTAACAGATATATTTCTTTGGTATATATATATATATATATATTTATTTATTTATTTTCGTAGAACTCTTACCTGTGGTATTTTGAAGAGTCGAAGCAAATTCGCTACTTGGACAGATGTAACGCTCGAAGCGGCACCAACTACACCAGATATTACTTTTTTCACTTGTGATTTATTACAGTGAGTATATTGAGTGTCGTCGATGTTGCTAATAGAACCTAAAAAAAATAATACAATTTCTTTCAATTTACATTTTGATTTTATTCGTTATTATAAAAAAAACATGGATTATAAGTATATGAATATTCAATACATGAATATATTATATAATATAGTAATTTAATATAGTGTAATACACCAATATATTCAAATTCAAAGAACTTCAAAAAACATTATTTTTTAAAAACCGTTCTCTTTTAAAAAAAATAAGGTTCCTATCACTGGATAGCTTTCCTACTCGTAGTTCCAAGCCATTATTTACATTGTTAACCTATTTACATATTGTATATTTTTTTTATGTACAGATTGTGAATGTTAATTAAAATTAAAACATTTTTAAAAAAGTATTTAAATATACCTCATTTGTTTACAATTACCTCGCATCATCCTGTAGCCGTTATAGCCTATCTATAAAGTCCAATCACACACAAAGGCGCTCTTATTTTAATTGAAACTGAAATGTTATTTTTGATTAACAAATTAATTTAAAATGGATCTCTTCATTATACTTATACACATTATGTATAAGACATATCCGACACGTGTCTTAAAAAATAAACAAACAAAAACTAATAACAATAATGTAGATAGAAAGAAAGTTTGCAATTTGTATAATGAAGTACTGAGTACACCGTTTCCGAGGAATGATAATTATATTATTATAAGATTCTGAGGAGGGAGCTTACATGTGTCTAACCCAACACACGTTTTACATGCATGAATTGGGTGTGCAACTGTAGATATATTTTGCATATATTATAATATTTAGTACGGCTTTAGTAAATGCTTTACAACATACATAGTAAAATCACGCTCGGAGGTTTTTAGTTTTTAATCGAATTCAATTTATCGCTAAATGTGCGGTTACATCGAGCTGTTTATTGATGAGTACTTTTCAAATGACAACATACAATAACGGTCTACTACCGAAATAGACGCGTTCAATAAAACATGTGTACAAGTGAATTCAATGTATTTGAATGATTGAAGGAATAACAATTATAACCGTCCATTTGTTATTGCTTATTGTTAACGTTCAAAGCACATATATTTATTTTGTGTAGAACTATAGTATTATTATTAGTACTTTACGATGATAGGTTGTTTTCCAAAAATAAACTTTTGTAAGAACATACCTCGGAAAGAATAACAAAAACGTATAGATTCGATTCATCGTCTTGCAACGTGACAATTATACATCATATACTTCTTTAAGAAGTGAAGTACAATGAAAGTAGAACAGAAACGAATTTTAAAAATTAATACAACTGGACATCACCAGACTGTTTCACCAGACCAGCCTGAGGAATAAAATATATGAACATCTGTCTTTTTTAATTTAAATTACCTGATGTAACGAAAAAAAGTACTTGAGAATGGCTTTATTTAATAGTTCTATTATTCCCTCCGTTTAATGGCTGTGTACAGTAAAACAAAATAATTATCTAAAAAAATGAATTTTATTTCTATCCATATCCACCTACTCTAGGTACTAATAGAAATAAATATTCTACGGTAATACATTTTTGTAAAATCAATATATATGCTTTTAAATTGTTAGTGCATAAAAATATTCTTATTTTGATAAATTTGCATTAAATTATAAAAAGTTGAACTTAAATAAAGAGAGTTTTAAAAATGATAAAATAAAACAATTTTTTTATGACCGCCGTCGTACCACTTGGACGGTCGTTATATTTGCATTTAGATTTTTGCTTTTAACTGTGAGCTCACAATGTAATATGCAGAAAAGGGCATTAGGCCGTCACCCTTTTTATCTAAAGTTTAAAAAAAACGAATGCTTGCTTAAAACGGTCCCCTTCAACATAATTTACAACAGATGGAAATGTACGAGTAGTTTGTTCTGTTTTGTATATACGTTTTTTATACGTTTTATAGAATTTATGGGCTTATACACTTATAACACAAACTTAAACTCAATATCTATGTAATTATTGACTTCTATAGAATTAGAGTTACGACTACAGAAATATTTCTAATGTTAACACTTGCCGACAGCCATTTACTTTTTAATGGACTAGACAAGCTTAAGCGTAGGCATACATGCAGTTCGTCTCGGTCAAATTTTGGAATATGTGTTTTTTTAAGGTGAAAACGATAGTGAAGTCAAATTTTAGCAGTCGAACTTACTTTTAAAACGAACGGCAAGACTTTAAAATGCAAATACTATGCCAAAATAACCGTTTTTGTTTAACAGATTTTGCTTATTACATCAATTCCGTTTTCGTTTTAATCATTATTTAAACATTTCAAAAATACGTATTTAAAAAAAAATGTAATCCTTACATACTTGAATAATTTTTTTAATTTTAAGTAAACTATTGTTATTTATTATTATTGAAGATAATTACACAATATATATATATATATATATGTATATAAACTAATACCATGACCAATTCGTGTATATATTATAATATTTTATAGCATAGCTGACAGCTTTAAACGTTGTATTTAGCGATAACGAAAAAGGTCGCTACTCAGAGAAACCAGCTGACGTTGTATCTTCCCTACTACTCCCACCAAATATAAAACCGGAAGTACACGCCATCCGGTTTTATACTTCCGTAGTAAAAGTCTGTGTTCGGTTAAAAGTCCATTAGGTGTGACCAATTCCTCGGAGAAATATGCACTTTAATCTAGAAACAATTTTATTCGTTTATCCGTCTAGAAAAATATCAAATTGCTACTTAATTTATACACATTTTTAAACACAAAATAAATAAGTAAGTGTATCGTTAGTACGTCAACGTAATTTTTTATTATGTACGTAAATGAAGTATAATTTATATATTTATAAATTATAAGTATATTTATATTTTATAACTTGTATACATATATGTGTGTGTTACTAATTAGTAAATATAATAGGCAAATGTTTCACAAATAGCTCTCGTTTTATTGAACGTGGTGATATAATTACCATAATGTCAACTCCAAATTTACATTTGAAATCCCTAATGTATTCCTTCCTTCCTTACCTAGTTTAGAAATCTATATTTTAATATCCAACAACTAATGTATGTACAATCTAACTTTAATACAATCGGTTCACTTATGCTAACAATTCATTTAACATTACTAATAACATCAATACTTGCTGAAGTTGCCACAATGCAGGCTACGAGTAACTCAAAGGTTATTTTCCTGGAAATAATTCATTGGTTATAGATGAGAAATAAAATATTGAAGTTTATGACTTGCGCTTTTACAAATTTCGTTTTTTAGAAAACTAATGAAGCTCATCACATTTGTACTATATGTAGTGTGTTTTGTACGATGTCACAAACATGCATTTACCTAATTTTGTTCATCAAGTCAATATTATTTTACGATGAACGGCTGTAATCGTACACTCGAAATTCGAAAATAAGTATATCGTTTATGTACTGAGCACGTAAATAGTATTATAGTACTATATATATAATCAATGATATTAAATCATTTAGAACCAATAAAAACCTAACTGCAATAAAACGTTTTCATAGATATACACAACTTATAAAAATTGTACTAAAATACAATTTTCCATTCGGGTCATTAATGTTAACCTGTAGAATTTAGGGAGAAATATACAGAAATTAATATTTCTGTACTAACCATCATGACAAATAATATTATTATTTTATATGGATAAAAGTATTATATTTATACTGTTTATCTCATACTGTTAAAAACTGTTTCAATTAAACGCATCAATGTAGTGAAATTGCCTATCAAATTCGCCGTGTCTAGATTATTAATAGTATTATATTATTATGACCCTTTTGCCCAGAAAAAATACTGGCCTCACTGGTTGGCCGTACGGTATCTACTACATTGCCACTTGTGACCTAGAAATTTTCCTTTCACAGACTTTAAATTATTGTGTTATACTTTTTTACATTTTACTCATTTGGTGTTTTTAGATAGTATTTAATAGTTAATACATAATAGTTGTATGTGTGGACTAATTGATTTTTGCATGGTAAGACTTTAAGTCGATCTTAAGAGATCAAGAGACGCTTAAAGAGTTTTTTATTTCGTTTTGTGCATCTCTTGATAAGTTATGAAATTGACTTAGTCTTACCACTGAAAATTCTCTACTTTTATGTTTAAAATTTTAAACCAAGTCTAAAACAATATTGAATTCTAAACAAAATTAAAGGATACAAATGAATATTTTACTTTTAAATCTCCGTTCAGTTGCACACACTGAAAAATTTTACATAAGAAAACATCATAATCTAAATTCTAATATACATGTTGCTTCTAGGAACCTCTCAACCACAGAAATAATATTGTTTTTTGCTTTTACTCGAAATTTTACCTACGGGTTGTAAAAAGTTTAAGTCGCCATTAAATTGGTTTCAGTTAAAAAATGTACCATATAACATATTGTCACAACCGAATGATTTGTGAAAATGATAAACATAAAACTCATTTCAAAGACTGGAAAACTATGTATGATAAATGTCTTCAAAAGTTTTATGAATTCTGCCTTCATAATAATATTACTTTAATGCAATTTCTAAGTAAATATTAACTATTTTAACTCTTTCTACAGGAAATCGTCGTAAATCACAGGAGGCCTAATACGTGACCAAAAGTAATAAACATATTATAACCTGAGAACTATTTTAAATACCACCGGTAAATAATGCACTTGTGAAATAATAAAGTAATTTATTCAAAAAATATGAATATTAACAGATAATACACGCATAAAGCAGATTAGCTGATTAGAATTAATTAAAATTGTCAATAAAATAAATTTCTGTAAATAATGTAGTGATAAATTTTGAAAATAATTTAAATTGGGTAATTTAGCATGGTTTTATAGTAAGCACTTTATGAAACTAATGCATATTTTAAAATTGTATTTACATATTTTGGATTTAAATAACTAAATGAATAGTTTTATTTAGATTTTATTATTTCGTTCAACGTGGTGAACAGCTAGACAAAAAAAAAATAAGAAGATTTCAAGTACATGTCG